CAGTTTCAGCTTATGCCTTTATGCTTTACACACCAATATAATTTGACTGACTTTGACAAGTAATTTTTCCCTAGTAATACCCTCCTGTTATTATTCTTACCAGAACAAAACCATTTCCTCAAATATCTTCCAGTAAAGACAATATATATACAGTAAACTTTGTATGTTGATTAATTATATACTTCTAAAACAAGGCAAATACCTGTTTCCTCTAAATATCTACCCATAAAAACAATAGTCAGCTCAGTTTGAAACAATACAATCAATTCAGTGTTTTCTCTATACTTCAGCAGCAAGCAAAGGGATGCAGTCAGTTTGGCTGCTTAAGGCAGGAGGCTGCTGAATGGAGGATCAAGTAATTTTTCAAATACAAAATGTATTGTCTTTATTTCTTTATGTAAAGCAATACTGTTCTCTGCTTATGTGCTGGTGTGTTTACCAAATGTATTCTTATTATGAATACAGTATACCAAGTCATCATTATCACCATCATCATTATTATCAGTTTTTAACCATTTACACTTGATTGAAGCTTTACATGAACAAAACAAAACAGAACAAGATGTGATAAAAACTACTGTATTATTATTAATTCATTTTTGTTTAAACTTCATATATTATATGATGTAAAACATAATTACATGTATGATATAAAAATACAAGTTAATATTTCAGTGTTGGCCTCTGTCAGGCTTTAGCCACAACCTAATATCTCTGTCGTACCATGTAAAGTCACTGCTTCATTTGCACTGTATTTTGCTCTGTACATTAGTTGCCTCAACAAGCATTTGTACAAACATGTCCTCAATCTAACATTGAACGCTGATTCTTCACTAGAGCAAATTGTCTCAACTTACTTAAACATTCAGCGACCACATTGATTGACACTACATCAGGATTTGGTTTCTCACTCTCATCCTCACTGTCACTGGTATTTTCCTTTTCATTTTCAGTTGTCATTTCCTTCAGAATGTCCACAGCACTTTTGTCCCATTGTGTCATGTTGTCACAAGTGGCAAACTCACAGGCTAAGAATGGCTACAAGCTCCCTGAAATGACAGTCAAATAACTCCAGGGCCAAATGCAACACTGCAATTGGTGTGTCATCCTCAATGTCAGTCTCTTCATCATCCTCTGAAACACTTACACATTCTGGGGTATACCCACTCTTAGCGAAACATTTCACAATCATATCAGAGTCCACTTCCTTCCAAGCAGCAGAAATCAAGTAAGTTGCTTGCAGAATTGTGATTTCTCTCAGGATCTCTGGTCCAAGCTTAGTGGAAATTGTTTCCATGATGATGAGTACATGCTGTAGCTGGCGATTCCTGTACTTTAATTTTGTTGCCTGAATTATGAAGGCATCCATCGGCTGGAGGACAGAAATGGTGTTCGCAGGAAAAAACTGCAATTTTACATTGTGAAACAAAATAAAAAATTGGTTTTCTATGTTTGGGTCATATTGCCTATTTCAATGCTACTTTTAAATTTCAGTAATGATACAGATTTGAACATGCGACCCTCGATCGATGAATGCTTAATGTGTTTTGAAGGCAGTGTCTGTCTTTATCACCTCCATCACAAGAACAATGTGTCAGGGTGGACTGGAGCAATGTGTAGCTACAGTAGTATTTTACGGTTCTCAGAGCACCTATTTTCCTGTCAAATTTCCTCTTTCCACTTAAAGTTACTTAGGTTCAAAACCTGAGTGAATTTCCTGGCTTTCTCCTGAATCATGGGCCCAGACACATTTACCATGGTAGCAAATGTCTGCCTCCAAATATGGTACAATTACACCTGTATTTAGTGTAAATATATTCTTCTAAAGGCATTACAGTCAAAGTTCTGAGTGACTGCGATATCTTTGGAAACAGGTGTTTACAATTTATTGTAAAGTTGTATATAGTGTCTTCTTCCAAGACATTACAGTCACACCTGTTTAATTTGTATACACCTGTTTCCAAAGATATCGCAGTCACTCTGGTATGTTGTTTATACATCTTCAAAGACATTACAGTCACACCTATATATATTTTTTTATACCTATTTCCAAGGCATCATTTAAAAACCTGTATGTTCTGCAAATGCTTAATTCCTTGGACATTTCAATCAAACATGTATTTATTGAGAATAAAAGCTATCAAAGACATTACAGTCAATCTTGTATCTATTGTAAAGTATTCTGCCAAAGACATTACAGTCACACCTTTTAGAAAGTATAAAAGTATCTTCTTTCAAAAGCATTTCAGTTGTGCTTTAAGTCCTCTTTTCCAGGGTCATAACAGTTGAACTAGTCTTTTTACTGAATATCTGCTTTTTAAAGACAAATTTAGTAATACTGTATTAAGTGTACATACATATAATATGCATATTCTTCCAAAGATATCACTGTCAAATTTGTATTTAGTGTAAATAACTGCTTTCAAGACCTCACAATAAAGCATATATTTAGAGTAATTCTAGAGTAATATCTTCCACTAAGGACATCACAGTCATGCCAGTATTTCTTGTAAATGTCTGCATCCAAAACCAGTTCAGTCATACCTGTATTTATTTTAGCTATTTTCTTCCGAAGACCTAACAGTGTAACATGCATATAGTTCCAAAGACATTAAACCTTTGCTTATTGTTAATTTCTTCTTCCACAAATATCACATAATGTACATCTGTATGTTAAATAAATATTTTCTTCCAAAGAGAAAACAGAGACTTGTATTAAGCATAAATATTTTTAATGTTACTTATATTCTTCCAAAACCATTACAGTCATAGTAACAGATGCCTGTACAGTCAAGTTATATTTGATATGAATATATTCCGATAAAGCATTACAGTGGAACGTGGATTTTTCACTTTCAAAGACATTGCAGTCAAATCTGTTTAATTGTGTACTTGTTGTTGATGCCTCATTTTAAAGACATTAAAGTCACATTTATTTTTTTTATCAAAATACCTGCTTGCAAGGCATTACTGTCAAGTCTGTATTAAGTGTACATGTCTGCTTTCAAAGAAATTACAATCAATCCTGTATTTATTGCTATGTCCATGATCTTGATGATCAAGACGACTAGTGATAAAATCCAAGTAGTATGACACTATATATAACAACAAGGAAGAATCATGAAAGGGTGGTTGTCTTCATTTCCAGGTCTTCTTGAGTTAAGAGAAATGGAAACTGAGGGATGGTAGTATGGAAATGTCTTGAGATAAATGATGTGCATTTTACTGACTGATAGTGGGAAAAACTTTTGGCAAAGCAGAATGATGTTTTTGTTTAAATTGAGGCATTTATCAAGTTTTTGATTATCTTTAAGTAGATGTTGTTGTTTTTTCCTGCTCTCTAAGTTATAATTTCAGAATTGATGCAATGCGGGCATTAACACGTGTGATGATATTTTCAACCATTAAGCAGCAGTCTGAAGTTGCCTAAATAGTAAGTACCACTTTAAAATTTAATTATAAATTTTTCATATTCAATGTAACAACAATGGATTTCAGACCAAAGAAATGCTGATTTTTCCAGAAATAATCATTGATGTAGTCATTTTTCTCTCATTGCTGTAGGCACAAACTATGGTGGTTATCAACTAAATACTTTCATAAGAAGCTATCCAGCTATTTACAGATGATATGTGGTCCTACACATGATTAAAAAATGAACATGGAGCAATTGAGGTCTTCCTTAAACAATACAATTGGTAAATCACCATATAACCTCTGTTAAACACAAGAAAATAGCAAAAGTTGTGGCCCTTTATCCCAAATTGTTTGCATGTCCCTCCGCACTACTGTGAGTGAACTGGATGAACAGAGTTCATTATGTAACAATAGAATAAGGGACCAATGGCCCAATATTAAACAAAAGAAAATAACAAATGTATGGCCACTTCTTCCATTTCTGTCACATATTGGTCCATCCAAAGATTCTGGATCCAGTCAACCTTCTCGGGGAGCATCACCCGGTTCAACCGGTTCTTGTTTTCAAATAAAAGCCCTTGGGTCAAAATTGGCCCTGCCCCGGGGGTCATTGATTTTATTTATGTGTATAGCAAAAACTTATAAAATCTTCTTTGAAAAAACCCAAATAGCTAGAGTTAAGATATTTAGCATGAAACATCTTTCAGTTATTGTTTTCAAAGTTTGTTCAAATAAAGCCCTAGGGTCAAAATTGGCCCTGCCCTGGGGGACATTGATTTTCCTTATATGTTATAGCAAAAACTAAAAAATCTTCTTTAAAAAAAAAACAGAATAGCTAGATTTTAGATATCAAGCGTATGAAACATCTTCAGAAGACTAGTGAATGTCTCCAAAGTTTGTTCAAATAAAAGCCCTAGGGTCAAAACTGGCCCTGCCCAAAGGGTGTCATTGCTTTTAACTATATGTGTATAGTTAAAACTTAGAAATTATTTTTTTAAAAACTCAACGAGCTAGACCTTAGATGCTTAGCGTGATATATCTTCTAATGGGTGTCTACTAAGTTTGTTCAAATAAAAGCCGGGGTTTAAACTGGCCCTGCCCTGCTGGCCTATATACAGGTGAGCGACTTCAGGGCCATCATGGCCCTCTTGTTTATTTATACCATATTTGATGTATTTGTTTATTGAAATTTAATGTCCTTTAAAGCAAAAAAATACATGTATAGTGTCATAAACCATTACTTCATGAGCATTTTGTGAAAAATGGTTCAGATTCAGATTGCTATAAAACTATAAAAACTGCAAATTAAACTAAATGGCACAAATGTTGACTGGACCATTGCCTTTGTAACAACATGCCCAGGCTTAAATTTTCTGTTACCATGGCAAGGAGGGGACATCTCAAAATTGCCAAAAATTGCTATTTTGCATTGATTTTTTCTCCATCAAAATTGATGTCAAAGTGCTGCAAGTTCTCAATAGACTTTTGATTATAAGAGTCAAATGCTTTTCAGCGTTGGACAGGTTGCCTTATGATTGATTTGGGGTCATTTTTAGCCTCTCACACAAAATAATGAAACAAACATGTATATACCTGATTGGTCTAATTCCACATTCACTAATTTGTCTGGTGAGTGTTCTTATATTTGCAAATAAATGTTTATTAAATCTTGTTTGAAAATTAAAGATGGCTCTGATTTTTTAATCTTTCACTATATACAGCAAATCTTGGAAAGTTTGATCGCAAACATAAACTTGCTAAAATACATTGTACATTGTATGTTCAAATTGTGTAACACCAATGTTCCCTATACATGTATGTGTAATATTGGTGTTGATAATACGCAGATATTTTTTTAACATAATAATATTGTCTGATCATCTATGTTTTTCAGGGAGCAGCTCAACATGTACATTTGAATCAAGAAGTATATGTAACTACAAGCAAGATAAGACAGATGACTTTGATTGGACATGGAAATCAGGATCTACAACTTCTACAGGCACTGGACCTTCGGCTGATCATACTTATGGCACATCAAAAGGTGATCATTATGATGAGATTGTAATTTGCAATTTTTGCTAGTTCTGCGAGAATTAATCACTTTAAATCAGATTAAGATTTTCCTGTTTTAAATCTTATCTAATAAAAGGCTAGACTTTTTTTTAAAGAAAGGAAATTTGATTATTTGAATAACATAAACTAAACAGGTACACTTTAGCATTTGTTTTTGGTCTGGACACTGTTTAGTTTACATGGGTTATATTGTATAATTGCATTAAACTGTATCTGATGAATTCCATAATGTTAATATTTTGAAAGGTACAATGTATTTTATTCCACACTGGCAAGTTTAATGTATGCAGTGTCCTAGATACTTTCTAGGCTTTATCATTAGGAGGAGTGGCCACCTAGTGATGCAAGTGTCTTCCTCTCAACTCAAGGATCATGAGTTCAAGCCATTCTTGTATCATGACTATGATCCTCATAATTCATAACAAGAACTGGTTTGTTTAGAAAATAAGTTAAATAATATAAATCAAAGTGTTGGCGCCGGACAAAAGGTTTGAAAAATGCATAAAGATTTATTAATATTTTCTATGATTTCAGGGTCTTACATTTATATTGAGGCTTCTGCACCAAGAGTAACGGGACAGAAAGCTAGAATATTTTCTCCATCCCAGCCAGTAACCACTGGCTCCTGTGTATCATTTTATTATCACATGTATGGTACACAGATGGGCACATTAAATGTTTATGCTAGAACTGGAAATGCCATTGGTTCACCAATACTGTCAACAAAGGGTAACCATGGTAACAAGTGGTTAAAGGCCCAGGTCTCAGTAAGATCAACATCAACTTGGCAGGTTAGTGAATAGTTTAAACCATACATATTTGTCATATTTTCAGTGCAGTAGAATTTAAAAAAATGGGTAAATATTTAAACTTTTTAGATATCCTTGGATGCTTGTCTCTCAGAATTGTTGAGGGTTTTATATTTACAGTTTAACATATCACATTAAAGTATAAGGAAATTTCATGGGAGAGTCTACATTAATGTTGTAAGAATGTCTTACCCAACTCTTTGGTAGGTATTTTCTGGCTGTGAAAATGTTTTTATACCCCCGCACAACAAAGTTGTAAGGGGGGTATACTGGAATCAGCTTGTCCGTCCGGCTGTCCGGCCGTCCGTCGGTTTTTTCTTGTCCGCCCAATAACTTAAGATATCTTTGACCCTTAGTCTTCATATTTGGCATGGAGGTTAGTCATGATTAGTAGATGACCCCTAATGATTTTGAGGTCACTAGGTCAAAGGTCAAGGTCACAGGGGCCTTGACTTCAAAAAGCTTGTCCGCCCAATAACTTAACATTCCTTTGACCTACAGTCTTCATATTTGGCATGGAGGTTAGTCATGATTAGTAGATGACCCCTATTGATTTTGAGGTCACCAGGTTAAAGGTCAAGGTCACAGGGGCCTTGACTTCAAAAAGCTTGTCCGCCCAATAACTTAAGATTCCTTTGACCCATAGTCTTCATATTTGGCATTGAGGTTAGTCATGATTAGTAGATGACCCCTATTGACTTTGAGGTCACCAGGTCAAAGGTCACAGGGGCCTTGACTTCAAAAAGCTTGTCCGCCAAATAACTTAAGATTCCTTTGACCCACAGTCTTCATATTTGGCATGGAGGTTAGTCATGATTAGTAGATGACCCCTATTGAATTTGAGGTCACCAGGTCAAAGGTCAAGGTCACAGGGGCCTTGACTTCAAAAAGCTTGTCCGCCCTATAACTTAAGATTCCTTTGACCCACAGTCTTCATGTTTGGCATGGAGGTTAGTCATGATTAGTAGATGACCCCTATTGATTTTGAGGTCACCAGGTCAAAGGTCAAGGTCACAGGGACTTTGACTTCAAAAAGTTTGTCTGCCCAATAACTTTACATTCCTTTGACCCACAGTCTTCATATTTGGCATGGATGTTGATCATGATAAGTAGATGACCCCTTGTGATTTTGAGGTCACTGGATCAAAGGTCAAGGTCATAGGAACTTTGACTTCAAAAAGTTTGTCCACCCATTTACTTAAGATTCCTTTGACCCACAGTCTTCATATTTGGCATGGATGTTGATCATGACTATAAGGTGACCCCTATTTACTTTAAGGTCACTGGGTCAAAGGTCAAGGTCACAGGGACCTTGACAATAAAAAGCTTTTCTTCTCAATTGCTAAAGAATGTCCTGTCAGCAATGTATTGATTTTGACATTTTCACATTTGAAGCTTGTAGAATACATAACTTAGCAATGCACTGGCTTAGTAACCTCAGATTTGGCAGGGAGGTTGTCCTTGAGCTCTAAATGGCCACTGTTGATTCTGACAAAATGGTATGCGGGGGTATTCACGCCAAGATAGTGGCAGTTCTAGTTATACTTCTTCTATAGAATACTATCAAACCAAATGGAAAAAAACTCTAATGCTGTTTTCTTGTGGATAAAGTTATAGATACAGTCGGCATCGTACTTGCGGCCACCTTTATTAAGCGACTTTTTTATTAAGCGGCCGCATAAAATCCCTCCCGATGATTTTTACTATTTAATTTAATTCCATTAAACGACTATTTTATATCGCGGCCAGCGGCCACTGAATGTCGGCCCAAATGTACAAAATTAAGTGTTAAAGTATCTATTAAACGGCCGTGACAAACAATCGTCCCTGCGGGCATTCTCACCTGTGTAATTAGCGAGTAGGTTAGATGTGTACAAGCAAACAAACAAATAATATTCATGGTCATTGGTCACAAATAATTGTCGTTTAAAAACGAAATGAATAACAATTGCAATCGTTTCAAAATCGGATTTTCCGATCGTAATATTTATTGTGACATATTTTGTCAGAGCAATAACGTATCACAACACCGCGTTTGCATAGTTTTGTCATGTGCTGAGAGTGACCTCCCTTATCGAAAATGATGTCGGATCGAGCGAAAAAAAGACAGACAACTAATAAGACCGGGATAAATGTATGAGGAAATCGTGCATGGAATTGAGTCTGAGTAAATAGCAAATGTCATCGATTGTAGTCGAAATAAAATCGTGAAAACCTAGTAGACTAAAACATTACAGAGCCGAGCCTTTCATTGCTGATGGTGTAGGTGCTCATCTGATGCTTAAAAAATACATGTAGTATCCCATTAAATATGACCCTTCGACAAAAAAAGGCAAAAAAATCCTAGATCTCTAAAAATCTTATTGAATTTGAAATTGGGGTAGTGTGAAAACTAATTGTTGAAAAAATCAAGAAGTTTATTAAAACTCATTGCATAAATAATTATCTGGAGCTCTGGCTGATGATTCTAAAGTATGTTCAGCAGGAGATGTGTATGAACATATTAAAAATATTAGACAATATGCTTTGTATCATGGTCAAAATGACCTGTTTACAGTATTATGAGTGTAAAACACATTTGTACACAAATTTCTACTAAAAATCAAAAACAAACAATATTGATGACTTTTTTTTTTAAAAAGGCATAAATGTAATTATAAAACGGTAATACATACATAATATTGTATAGTTTTTGTTTTTATAAAAAAGATGTTATTATATCTATGACTTGTAATAAAAAGTCTCGAATTTTCCAGAATTCTATTGAGAGACCACTTTATTAAGAGGCCACTTTTTGGCAGTCCCTTGAGTGGTCTCTTAATACAATGTCGACTGTATCACCAAATATTTTAAACAGTATATACATTGCCATTTCCAAGTTTTTCATAATAATTGTATGATTTTGTGTCACCAGTTAACATTTGAGGGAATACGTGGCACAGGAGTCAGAAGTGACATTGCTATTGATGATGTGACAATTACTAATGGTGCCTGTATTGGGGATGATGGATCATGTAATTTTGAGAAGGATACTTGCTCCTGGAGAAATACACAAATAGGGGACGATTTTGATTGGCTTCGAAAACAAGGGCACACTGGCAGCAGTGGAACAGGCCCCTCAAAAGATCACACAATTGGGAATTTCCTTGGTATGTTAAACTAGACAATTTTCTGTGAAGTTTTCAATGAATTCAGTGAAAGTAATACCGTATTAACAGTTTAACTTAAATACATGTATATGTAATTTCTTGATTTTTAATTATCTCCTTTTATCTTGACCATGGAAAAAAGAAAAAAAAAACAAAAAAAACGAGCTGAGCCTTCAAAATTTTTATAAAGTCTCTAATTATTCTTAGATTTTTCTGTTTAAATTTCTTTAAGTAAGCTTTAAAAATTTTATTGATGCAATATCCAATGATATAATATTGAGCATATTCTAGCAGTATTTTTTAAATTCTGTTTCCTGTATTTTAGGGCACTACATGTATATTATGACTTCAGCCCCAAGGGTAGCTGGTAACAAAGCCTGGCTTGTCAGTCAACAGTTTAACCCCTCTAAGACTACACAGTGTATTTCTTTCTGGTACCATATGTATGGAACAACTATTGGTATGTCTCCTAGCCTTATAATTTCATTTTAAATCTGCACCTATATTTTGTGTGTTGCAACTAGGGCTGGGTATTGATCAGAAATTTCCGATACGATACGCATTGCGATACAGACCAACGATACACAATACGTATTGACGATACAGTACAATGATGCTTCATTGTTAGGATGTACTTATTAAAAGTACTATTTACATTTCATAGATGCCCTGGTGAAATATTATTGAATCTTTCTTATATCTGTTTTAGATTTTGACTTTGTTAATGATGATATATAATACAGAGCAGGTGCATAGGTACCTTAATTAGTACATTTGAGGTAATATTTTGAAAATGACATGATGGTCCCTTTTTTAGCTCGACTATTCGCAGAATAATCGAGCAAATGCAGTCACCCATTTGTCGGCGTCGGCGTCGGCGTCCCTGTGGTTAAGTTTTTGTATGTAAGCTGGTATCTCCTTAACTACTGAAGGGAATGGATTGAAACTTCACACACTTGTTCTCTGTGATTATCTTAGATGATTGGCACAAGTCCCATAACTCTGATTTGCTTTTTTTCATAATTATGCCCCTTTTTCGACTTAGAAATTCTTGGTTAAGTTTTTGTATGTAAGCTGGTATCTCCTTAACTACTGAAGGGAATGGATTGAAACTTCACACACTTGTTCTCTGTGATTATCTAAGATGATTGGCACAAGTCCCATAACTCTGATTTGCTTTTTTTCATAATTATGCCCCTTTTTCGACTTAGAAATTCTTGGTTAAGTTTTTGTATGTAAGCTGGTATCTCCTTAACTACTGAAGGGAATGGATTGAAACTTCACACACTTGTTCTCTGTGATTATCTAAGATGATTGGCACAAGTCCCATAACTCTGGTTTGCTTTTTTTCATAATTATGCCCCTTTTTCGACTTAGAAATTCTTGGTTAAGTTTTTGTATGTAAGCTGGTATCTCCATAACTACTGAAGGGAATTGATTGAAACTTCACACACTTGTTCTCTGTGATTATATAAGATGATTAGCACAAGTCCCATAACTCTGATTTGCTTTTTTATATGCCCGAAAGGGCATATTATGTTATACCCCCTGGCGTCCGTCTGTCTGTCTGTCTGTCTGTCCGTCCGTCCGTCCGTCCGTCCGTCCGTTAGCAATTTGGTTTCCGGAGCATAACTTAAGTTCCATTTGGCCCACAATGTTCAAACTTCATAGGATGATTGTCCATATTGGGTAGAAGACCCCTATTGATTTTGGGGTCAAAAGGTCAAAGGTCAAGGTCACTATGACCTTAAAACTGAAAACAGTTTCCGGAGCATAACTTAAGTTCCATTCGACCAACAATGATCAAACTTCATAGGATGATTGTCCATATAAGGTAGAAGACCCCTATTGATTTTGGGGTCACAAGGTCAAAGGTCAAGGTCGCTATTACCTTGATACTGAAAACAGTTTCCGGAGCATAACTTAAGTTCCAAATGACCCACAGTATTCAAACTTCATAGGATGATTGTCCATATTTGGAAGAAGACCCCTATTGATTTTGGGGTCACAAGGTCAAAGGTCAAGGTCACTATTACATTGATACTGGAAACAGTTTCCGGAGCATAACTTAAGTTCCATTTGGCCCACAGTGTTCAAACTTCATAGGATGATTGTCCATATTGGGTAGAAGAACCCTATTGATTTTGGGGTCAAAAGGTCAAGGGTCAAGGTCACTATATCCTATAAACTGAAAACAGTTTCTGGAGCATAACTTAAGTTCCATTTGGCCCACAATATTCAAACTTCATAGGATGATTGTCCATATTGGGCAGAAGACCCCTATTGATTTTGGGGTAACTAGGTCAAAGGTCAAGGTCACAATTACCTTAAAACCAAAAACAGTTTCCGGGGCATAAGGTAAGTTCCATTTGGCCCACAATATTCAAACTTCGTAGGATGATTGTCCATATTGGGTAGAAGACCCCTATTGATTTTGGGGTCACAAGGTCAAAGGTCAATGTCACTTTTACCTTAAAATACTGAAAACAGTTTCTAGAGCATAATTAAAGTTCCAATTGGCCAACAATATTCAAACTTTTTAGGATGATTGTCCATATAAGGTAGAAGACCCCTATTGATTTTGGGGTCAAAAGGTCAAAGGTTAAGGTCATTATTAATAACTTAAGTATTAATCAACCTACAGCTGTAAAATTTTATAGGATGAACAGCTAATTCCCATGTCTTATAAATGCTTCATCCTTATTAAAAAAAAAAAAACACTTTCGGGCATATAATGCTCCGCCTAGCGGTGCTCTTGTTACATAATTGTGCCCCTTTTTCGACTTAGAAATTCTTGGTTAAGTTTTTGCATGTAAGCTGGTATCTCCATAACTACTGAAGGGAATGGATTGAAACTTCACACACTTGTTCTCTGTGATTATCTAAGATAATTGGCACAAGTCCTATAACTCTGATTTGCTTTTTTACATAATAATGCCCCTTTTTCGACTTAGAAATTCTTGGTTAAGTTTTTGCATGTAAGCTGGTATCTCCATAACTACTGAAGGGAATTGAATGAAACTTCACACACTTGTTCTCTGTGATTATCTAAGATGATTGGCACAAGTCCCATTACTCTGATTTGCTTTTTTGCATAATTATGCCCCTTTTTCGACTCATGAATTCTTGGTTAAGTTTTTGCATGTAAGCTTGTATCTCCATAACTACTGAAGGGAATGTATTGAAACTTGAAGAGTTTGTACCTTTTCGGACAATTTTATGTTTTCATATATGTAAGCATTATTATACTCAATGAAACACCCTTGTGACAAATTTTCGAATAGTCGAGCGTTACTGTCCTCCGACAGTTCTTGTTAGATAAAACAATTATTTTGAAAAAAAAATTAAAAAGCTTTGTAGAGAAATAATTCAATGCAAAAATATAATTATGTAAATACTAGGAAAAGTTAACGCAGAAAATAATTAAAACATCACTATTTATTATGACAGGAGTCTAGTACTGTCTACTAGTCAACTGTTCTAAATTATAAGATCTTTATAATAAAATCAAATTTTTGTAGAATTTGAAATATATACGCTGAGAAAGTATTGGAACATTGAAAATTTTCTAGCAAATCATGTTTTTTCTATCTTAAACGGTAAAATTACAATAAAAATATAAATATCATGTCATGATGTTGTGGTGTCGTAATCCGTAACGTACCGGGAAACGGTGTTTAACTACATCTTCGCGCAGTCACATTTATTTAGTTAGCAAACTACATCTTGGAAAATCAATAAATTTGTTGGATTTATGTGTTCACAATATGTGTTTAAAAAATTACAAGTAAATGTTTGGTCTAATACAAACTACTGCCGACCTGAAAGTAGTTTTTACCAGTGTTAGAAATAGGAGATTGAATGGCCGGATAAATTTTGACACGGATTTATCCGTCATTTTGTGTTTTGACATATTCGTTGTTCCACCTGAACTTGTCAATGCAGCCTTTCAAATATTGATGAGGGCCTTCTTAACATTTACTTTAGAGAAAATTCCACACTTTTGACTTTTGTGCGGACATTTTAAAGACGAAAGTTTTAATGTAAAGCCATCATGTTTATAAGTGTTATTAGGTTGTCTCCCTTTGTATCGGTATAGCTAAAACCCGATAACCGTACCGTATTGAAAAACGGAAAATCGATAAATACCGATTTACCGGTATATTGATCCAGCCCTAGTTGCAACATGTATATATTTTCTAGATATATATTAAGGTCTTAGTAGGATAAAATTGTATTCATGAATTACAGCATTTCACTCAAAGTTAATAATATAACTGCAAATGTAATGATATTACGTTGTTTCTTTCTAAGGTGCACAATGTAAATTTGAAATCCTACTCTTTTTCTATTTTTTAAATGTTTATATTAACAAAGTTCAGCAAGTAAATTCATAACACACTTACGAACTTTCGCTATACGTATATGCAGTATTTCGATAGAGCGGAAGTCAGTGCGCGAGCATGCGCTTTGCAATATCTCGTTCAGTTACCGCTCACGTTTTAAACTCGGTTGCTATGAAGCGACCGTTTTAAACTCGGTTGCTATGAAGCGACACTAAGTGTACATGGCTTTTACAACTAAAATATCAGACAAACACATTAAAACAATACACATAAACTACACATAGCTGTTTTCCATATTAATATTTTCCATTTGAAAAACAAACATCTCAATATTCTTACCGATTTAATGTATTGTTTACATGTGATGACAGCAACGCTGTGTGTTAGATTACTTTCGGTTCAGAAAATTCATTTGTTTACCATCAAAACTCATATGTTTACCATAGGAACCATATATAGATAGAAAGCAAATTAAACAAAGGTAAAGAAAAAATTGTCCGTTTCTGAACAAAAAATCGAATAAATAAATACACAGTCTTTTTAAAATGTCCCTTCTTTGAGTTCATTTGAAAGGGGAATAATTTGGTGGAATTTTAGACAGGGAAACAGGGAGTTATCTTACATGGCTAGGGAAAATGGCCGACTGAAATTATGCAAGCAAGTTTGTAAGTGTAACAGTCAGTTTCACATATTGACTCAAAAGCAATATACATTTTCAGGCTCTTTAAATGTGTATCTCAATGCATCTGGAAGCATGACACAATTGTGGACCCAAACTGGGAACAAGGGAATTAACTGGTTACAAGGACAGTTCCCATTACAGCCAGTTAACTCCCTTTACATGATATACTTTGAAGGGGTTAGAGGATCATCATATTCAGGAGATATTGGTTTAGATGATTTCACGTTTTCACAATCATCCTGTGGCTGTAAGTTGTACATAAGTCATTATTGTAGATATTATAGATAAAGATAGAAAGGCTTAATTTTTATGAACATTTTATAAATGATTTTATTGGTTATCTGATTATTTAACAGTAATTATAAATTCTGAGATTAAGAGATCCCTATGGAGTAATAAAAATCATACTGTTAAGTGAGTCAGTTGGTAAGGTATTGTCCTTTCCCCAGAGCAGATACTATACTTGAAAAAAAAAACAACAGACAAAAGACAAATATAACTGGTACCTATAGAATTTGTAGTGCTATACCCAAGATATGTTAATGTTCATTTGCAAGATGAACAAAATAAGTAAAAGTGGGACAAACAATCAACACAGGATGAGTTATAAGGTTTATTTAATGATGATAACCGACGTTTCGACTCTCACAAGTCTTTATCAGGGTTTCAAAATATCAGAGTGTTTTTTTTAGGGAAGTTATATTTTAATAAATAACTTTTATTGGTGAAAAAGAAGTAAATTCTCTTTAAGCTTTGATGTAAATATATATCCGAAGATTTATACTAATTATATATTGTCCAATAAAAGAATGACTTGAATGACCTCTTTTAAATTTGCTAAATGTACACTTTCTACGATATTTCAGACCAACCATCCAATGGAAAGCCTGGCAAGATTAGCACCACTCCACAATCTAGTACTGTGTTACCAACATTCCGTAAGTACTTTGGCTATATGCTTAAATATTTTAGATAATTATATGTAAATAACAGTTTGTACCTGAAATAATGCATGGAAGGGCACCTGAGGTCTTCCTCCACCAGTAAAGCTAGAACGAAACCATATTAAGTATTCTTTGTCAGTGTGACAGTTAGCATTCAAGGAGTTAAACCAGACTATTGTAACTTTCAGAATCTAATTCCAAGTATGACTGCAGTTTTGAGACTGGTAGCTTGTGTACATGGACACAAGATACCACTGATAACTCTGATGGTGGTTTTATGAGGACAGAGCGACTCACCGTGTGCTTGACCATGTTATTGGTATACATGTGTTTGAATGCCATGTGGTACAAGGTGACAGTGACAGAGGTGAGTTACACATTGCCCACCATCTATATTTAGTAACATATTCATTAATGAAACTGACCCTGTGTTTGAGATGTAGTTCCTTCTTATACTCTTTCAACAGTTTTCATTGACCTCTGTTTTTTAGCCTTTAGCCATGTGACCAGTGTGTAGACCTAGATCATCTGTGCTATCTGTCCAAAGTCTGAACTGTTGGCTATTCAGATTTGTTCAGATTGAAAGATGGACAAGTCCATTTAAAATATCTTTCTCGTGGAGTTAAGGTTCATAAGAACGGAACAGCATTGCTAGCAGTATGTAAAAACTGGTTCCATCATGATCACAAATTATTTAATGAAGATAGGAAAAA